CTGGGGTTTATAAAGGGACAAAAGAATTCCAGCCCCATAGATTGCAGCAAGGTTGAGTACTTTTGTAAATCACTGGAAAATCCTTATTTAAGCTAAGGGAATCATTAGAAAGATGAAGCCATGTGAAATTTCTCTGTGGGATCAAGGGGAAAGCATTTGCAGATTCTGCATTCATTCAGAATTTCCCTAAACAATTTTCAGGTTAAAGGATGTATCAATGGTCATGACCATGACATTTGAGAGCTGTGCTTTCACCACCCCCTGGAAAATACATTTCTAGAAAATCCAGAACAAGAGTTGTATACATTTATATAATTTCAAATTGTTTCAGAAAAATAAATTGTTGGCATATTTTTACTGGAGACTGTCAAAGACAGAAACTCAATCCACCACGTAAACTTTGCACAGCAGAGATCACTTCAGGGCAGATTTATTATCTTAGATTTACTTGTTAATTCTTTGTTGTGTTAAATTCTGGATTTCATCAATTAAATTATGTGTGCAGAGATTTTTCAGTAAATTCTGTCAGGACAGGACAGAAAAGCACAGCAGGGACCATCAGCAGCCAGGCTGGAGCAGTGATGAAGCAGCATGAGGGGGAATGGAAATACTGCAAAGGATGAGCTTGGGGAGGTAATTTTGAATGATCAACTATCATTTCAAAATAACAGTTATAACTGGTGGCTTCAGAGCAGAACAGACACATAAAAAATCCTGACTCAGAAGGGGCAGGGGGAAAAAGAGAATCAGGACAGGGAAATTTGTGCTTGCAGAAGAAAAATCTTTGCATAATTTGAGGAAAACTTGGCACAGTCTCCTCCTTGGTCTCAGTTTGCTGTCCAAGGGGCAGTGTTGGGAAGCAGGAACAGCAAAAGCACTCCCAGGACTGCTCTCCCTGCAGGAATTGCCCTGGCAGCTCCTCCTGCTCCTCAGCCCAACAGAACCTGCACAGCCTGGGGTGTGCCAGGCAGAGCCCCAGCCCCTTATGCACAGCATCCCTTCACCTGACAGCCATGGCAGCTCTAACTTTTTAAATTATTCCTCTGGGAGTAAAAGATTTATCAAAAAAAGGTATTTTACATCCTCAGCATTTGCAGAGTAGGAGACCAGAACACAGGAGCTGTGGATCTCTAGATAAGCACAAGAGAGCAGTTAAATGGACTATTAAAAATCACAATATTTTTCATTCCTATCTCTAATATCCACTTATTACAGACCAAATCCCTAAAAATCACTTTGCTTCCTGATGCAACAAAAATAATACTATGGAATTTATTTGCTCACACCTTGAGCACTTGCCAAGGGGATGTTGTGCTGAAGACTACAGGTGTTGCTGCCTTTAGAGACAGAATTTACTCTGTTCACTTCAAAGTTACAGAAATACAAAACCAACAATATCATTTTAAGTAGCTTGAAACTTTCAGATAAACGATTCCAGTGCTAACAATAACATTAAGTTATATCTTTGCTTTCCTAAGCCTAAGAAGGATCACAAGCAGGATCTGTATTTACATAAAACTGGTCAGATTCCCTGAAATGAGTCCAGAGCAGCCAAAGAACACAGAGCAGGGAAAGAAAATCTCAGATTGGGAAATACCTTTTAAAATTCCAGGGGTGTGACAGCTTCTTGTTGAAAGCCCAGGACACATCCTGAGAGGTTTTTGAGCTTTGCTGCTGTGAAAGCAGCGCTGGAGTCACAAATCCTCGTGGTTCTCACCTCAAGGCAGCAGCAGCTGGTGCTGGCAAGAAGCCCTGAAAAGCCCAACTCTGGTTTTTTATTTTTGCTTTTTGCTGTTCCTTCCCCTGCTCTAATCCACCTTTACTGTCTTGTCCTTTTTCAGAGCAATAAAACTCCAGGAATCTTTTTTTTTTCTTTTTATTTTTTTTTTCCTTTTATTTTTTTTTCCAGAACACTCATAGCAAGACAGGGAAGTAATTTGTGCTTATAAATCTCAAGACAACTAACATAAAAATGCAAATTACTGATGCCATCAGGGGGTTGAAATTGGCTGCCATATAGCCATGTATTTTGTGAGCTCTAGCACAAAGTACTTTGTTGAATTCTGGAAAATAGCTTTCCATGATCTCCTAGTAATTACTGCACATCTGAGTGACCCTTTTACTATCTCTGATTTTCAGTCACTGATTTTTATTTCCTGTCACTGACTCATATTCATCATCAGCTGCTGCTTCTCATTTCTTTAAAACTCCTAAGCATTTTCTTCTCAGATATGTCAATTTTTGCAAGGGCTCATTGTTTATCCCACTAAACCCCACATTTTTTATAATAAATGTCTTCTCTGGATAGAGTTGTGCAGGCAGAGGGAGGAACTCTGAGACTGAAATGAAGCAGTTTCAAAATGAATTTGCAGGTTCCTGAGAGAATTTGTCTGAAAATTGGGTGGCTTGACCTTGACCAAAGTCACATTAGCAGGTTGAGATGATGGAAAAGAACATGTAAGGGGAATTCATAAATGATTTTTTCCCCTTCAGACATAACAGAATGAGGTTAAAAGCAACAGGTGCTTGTTTACTTCCCATTTTACTTTTACTGGTGAATTCCAGAGAGATGGCAATAAACAATTCACAAAACCTGACCTCAAGATTTTCTTGCAGAATGTGTGGGGAAAGTGTGGCAAAATGTGACCAAGCAGCTCATCACAGCCTCTTAGTCTTGGTGATGCCATTCCCACTCTTAATGAGTGCAAGAAATTATTTCTGGCCATCTGCTAATGAAGATCAGGTGCAGAGGCACCCCCTGCCTGTGTGGGCAGCTGTGCTTGTGGCCTGGGTGTTTTATTGAGGGATTTGTCCCATGCATGGACAGACTGACAGCAGCTGACAGACGGCCAGTGCAGCCTCCCAGGGCTGGGGGTGAGGCCAAGTCCTGCTGCAGTGGAATTTCTGCCACCAGCTTCAAATTTAACTTGTTTGCCGTAAAACTGAGAAAATATCAAGCAGATCCTGAGGCTGGAGTGAGGAGAAAGTTTCTGCAGTGGTTGGAGAGCAGTTGGGAGTGTGAATGAACTGCTAACCATGACAGATATTGACCTTTCAATATAACCTGGAATAGAAATCTACCTTGGAAAAGAGCTGGGAGGAAAAGACCTTAAAGAACCTTCACACTTCAGCAGTTCCCACATTTCCACCCAGGTTTTCATGCTCTGAAAACATTTTTTTTTTTGGAGTGTAGGCCTGATAATTTCAATTTGAGGGTCCCTCTTTCAACCCTCAGAACTGGAGCCACATAAAGCTCTTCTGTGCTTGTTTGACCTCCTTTTATCACCAACAGCTTTCCTTTCACACCTGCTCAATTCCTGATTTTAAGTGTTGATTTGCTTAATCAGAACATTTTCCTATATTCCTTCGTTATTTTTGTTGCCTCACTGTTCTCACTTCTACCTATGGAGGTTGTAGGGAAGATATAACCCAGACTAAGGGAGAACTGAACATTGAATTTTGTGGAGTGAGAAAGTACAGCCAGTTGTTAGGGAGACATTTTCTTTTACCACATTCCCATTTTTCTTCTGGTGTTATTAGAATCTATCTAAAAAAAGTATAAAAATTAAAAAGGCAGTCAAGAGAACTTTAAATACCTGCAAGAATGAAAGTTATAACTTCTGTAAATATCAGAACATCTCCTCTGGTTAAGAAAGATCTTTCCTAGACCTGTTCTGTATCTCAGCACCCCTCAAATGTGACCACCCCTCTTAAAAAAGAATTAACATAAAAAAATCCACCTGAAATCTGCCAATAATGGAAGGAGTTTTGACAGAGTCTGGGGGTATGGAGGATTGTGTCTGAGCTTCTGACAAATATTGTTCTGACATTAAAAGTATCAAAAAAGTGATTTGCAGCTTGTGATTGTTACCTCTTCTTCCTCCAGAATTTTCTCAGCCTTTGATTCATCCATTATTTTTTGTTCTTAATCACTTATTTTTGTTCAAATACTTTTGTTCAAATAAAAGGAGTATCATTTTCCCTCAGCTGCAATATTACAATGAGAGTTCAGACATTCATTCCTGTGTACCACTCTCAAGAACTGAAATTCTCTTCCCTTTTCCTCAGCTCCTGAAAGCCTGATGCAGGCTTTGGAAGATCTGGATTATCTGGCAGCGCTGGACAACGATGGAAACCTCTCTGAATTTGGGATTATTATGTCAGAATTCCCCCTGGATCCTCAGCTGTCCAAGTCACTGCTGGCTTCCTGTGAATTTGAGTGTGTGGATGAGATGCTCACCATTGCAGCCATGGTCACAGGTACTGCTGGATCAGCTCTCTCTGCAGGCCTTGTGCCACCTTCCAAATCTATCCACAAAAGCAATTTTTTGTTATTCACATCCTGCTTATTTCAAGTGAATTAATATATTTGGCTGTTCAGGTTTTAACTGTAAGGATACAATGAAAGCTAAGTAAAGAATTCCCACAGACAAATCCATTTCCAGGCTTCAGCTGCCCATTGGCTTTCTCCCTTTTGTAAGAAATATCCCTTCAAAATGAAACTTTCTTATTTTAATCTATATTTGTGACAGATCAGTGCAGCAAAATAAAGAAAGTTCTAATTATAAAACATTGAACTGTTTACCTAGAAAGAATTACATTGTGATCTTGTCTCTCTGACATAACCTTGGGCAGCAAACACATGAACCACAGGCTATCAGGCTGCATGAGTTGTTCTCCTTGTAGGACAACTTTTTATGCCCAAACTGGGTTGATTTTTAACTTGTGATGGTTTTTCTAAAGTACATATAACAAATGTAAATGTTTGAGCATAGGCACAATTCAGTTTTAGAAAAGCTCAAAAGACACAAAAGTAAAACGCACTGGAAGCAGAAATTTCAACATAGAGGAGCAAATTAAGGCATTAAATCAAAAGATGTCTTTTTGTAATAAAGAAGCTATTTATTGGATTCTGGTTGAATTAGGTTGTCACATTAGGAAGCTTTTTTGGCATCAGTCTGGGAGAAAGCTGCTGATTTGTGTTTGCAGTACATATTAACTAAACAATATCATTGTCATTGCTAGAAATGAAGGGATGGGACAATTTTCAGGCTAAGAACAATTTACTGCTCAGACAAACATCAGTCTCAGAGTCCCTGAGATTTCAGAGGAGCAGGCATTTGGCCATAGCTCAGAGCAGTCACAAGTTCTTTGTTACAAGGCAATCTAGAACTTTCTAACCCCATGGACAGCTGCCACAGGGTTTATTTTGCTTTTCTGACCCATCACCTTTACTCACTTCTGCTGCACTGAGGATGCTTTTGTCCAATGGGCTTCTGTCTCACAGGCACACATCTGCTCCTGTTCCAACTTCTGAACTCTCAGCTCGTTCCATACAGCCCCAGCCCTGCATTATGAACCCTTCACCATCTCATCAGTGCAGTTTCTCACTCACTTCAGGCATATTCTTACTTACAGCTATAGAAATAGGAGTTTATGGTTTTTCTGCTTAATATCTGTGTATTGTATTTTTATCAATCCAAGCTTCTCCCAAGGCTGTAGATCAAACTCTTCAGTGTCTGTGGGAGTTTTTCTGATTCCCACAAAACAAGACTGGAAGGACACCCACAAAATAAACCCTTAGTGAATGCAGCAGGATCAGTTCTTCAGCACCGATCCAATACTGGGGGTTAAATGCAACTGAGGAAGGAAAAACCCAAAAATACCCAAAACCAGTGGAATTTTGTGCATGCCCCTCAGTGTTTTCACCATGGCCTGGTTTCCCCTCAGCTCCCAGCTGCTTCCTGCTCGCCCCTCCTGGCACAGAGGAGATCGCTCGGAGCCGCTGGCGCCGCTTTGCCCACCCTGCAGGAGATCACTGCACCCTCATCAACGTCTTCAACGCCTTCAGGGCAGCCTCTGCCAGCCCCACACACACAGGCAAGTGTGCCCAGCCCACATCAGCACACTGCACCAGTGTGGGAGAAAAACAAACCCAAAAATCTGGTGATTCTTTCTAGAATGGCTGGTATGTGGGGAGAAACCTATGGGAGTAGCTATTGCTGATGAATGTTAATTTACTAATTAATTCAAAACGTCCTAGGACGGCATCTCTGAACCAACAGGGATCCATAACCACTATTCCAGCTGTCCTTTGAAGTGGCACTGTGCAAACCCAGAGTGATGGTTCCTGCTGTAGAAGCACAAAATCCAAGTTCAGGGTGAATAAAAGCTGTTGAGGAGAACCTCAATTCCCCCAACAGCCCAACAATTGTGGTGGGGTTTTGATAGCTGGGATCTGAAAGGAAAAGTTAAAGGGAAAATGGAAAGTAGTAAATGTGATGATGTTTGCAGGGGTCTTAGGATGAGGGAAGAGACAAGAATGTTGACTCCATGTTTCAGAAGGCTTGATTTATTATTTTATTATATATATTATATTAAAACTATACTAAAAGAATAGAAAAAAGGATTTCCTCAGAAGGCTGGCTAAGAATAGAAAAAGAAAGAATGATAACAAAGGCTTGTGACTGACCAAGACAGTCTGGACAGCTGGGCTGTGATTGGCCATTAATTAGAAACAACCACATGAGACCAATCCCAGATGCACCTGTTGCATTCCACAGCAGCAGATAATCAATGTTTACATTTTGTTTCTGAGGCTTTTGAGCTTCTCAGGAGGAAAAATCCTAAGGAAAGGATTTTCCATAAAACATGTCTGTGACAAGTAAAGAACATTTGCAGGAGCACAAATAAAAGCCAGGAGACTGCAAAGCAGCAGAAACTCTTCACTGCATTTTCCCCTGCTCCAGTTCATTTCTGAGTCCAGTGCTCAGACAGCAGAGGGATAAATTTGCACTCCCTGAGTAAAAGCTTGGGACAGGGAAGCAGGATTGTCTCCTGTTGATGTGGAATGCTGAAGGGAGCTCCAGGAGAACCAGTCCTTTACCAGAGTGCAGCATCAGCACTGCAGGTGTGATTTCAACTCCATATCCTGGCCTAAATCTACAAGGCCTCAAAAATAGAATTGCTGCTCATTCTGTGGGAATCTTTACTCATAACAGAGCAAAGAAGGGATTCGATTGAGGAAGAACTAGCTGCAATCCTGTAAAACTAACTGGGGTATTGTACTGGTTTAGGGCAAATTTGTTAAAGAATCTGCAAAGGAGG